CTTTTGTCTTTCTGTTCTTTTCCTTTCCCAAACAGCTCCTGCAGAAAAGGTTGTTAGGATTCAGGGGAATAGCTGACTCACATGGGCAGTTGATGAGATTTTCCTGTATAATTGAGCCTCTGAAAGGGAATTTTCCTGTAGGCATTGCAGGGAGAAATAGTTCTGATAGTTCTGACACAGTCACTGGGGGGTACTGGTGGGAAGGAGATGTCCTTTAACTGAGGAGACCGCGAGGAAACTGGGGAGTCTGACTGGTGCTGTAGATCAGTGGTTTGCATCCAGCCTGTGTAGAGATGAGAAGTCATTACTTGCCGTCCTCTTGGGCAGTGACCCACATGAAATGAGTTTGGGTTTAGTCCAGTTCTCTGCGGATAAGCTGTTTGCAGAAAGCAATCATCAGATCTGGCATGGGCAGGCACCCTAACCAGCTGTCCAGCACAGGGCAAGGATGCAAAGATGTCGTGGAGGCCAAGCTGCAGTTACCTAAGGCCTGGGTCAGGGATTTTGCTGTTCTCTACGACCTCAGTGCATCTTGCACCTTCTCCATGGTGCATCTCCACCTTCTCAGCTGCTGGCTGGCACCACAAATTGGACGGGACAAAATCTGGAGGGTTTTGTGCCTGTGGCATGGAATTGAGCCTGCCTCTTGTGCAAAATGAAGTTCAGGTTGACAGGGATTTTAACAGATCTCGTCTCTTCAGGTCACATCCCATCTCCTCCCCTGGGCGGCCTCCTTTCATGCAGTGCCACCCCACCAGCATGGCTCTGGGACCAGCTCCTCAGCCACTTTGCTGAAGAGCAGAAGAAACTGAGGTGGAACGAAGCCAGCTCCATCGACTGGAGCTCTCCTGCTGACTTCCAAGTTGTATAGCTTGGGGTTGGAGTGGTCAGCAGATGGGCACTGAGTTCAGCCTGATGAGTCCTAGTCAAGCAGCAGGGCTGAGGCAGAGTTGCCTCGTGTCTTGTCCCATATGGTGGCTCCTGCTGTCAGTGTTCTTGTGGGAAAAGCTCTGAGCGGCCTCCTGGTCTCGAGTTCAGCCCCTGCCTTCTCACTGAGTAAAAGACAGCATTGGAGACACCAGTGTTTCTGGCAAGTGTGTCAGACCCCAGGAGTGACACTTGGCATCTGGTTCTGCTGGTGTGTGGGAGCTGGCACTGCTTTGTCCCCTGTGGGTGCTCCTCTGTCACTGTCACCGGGCAGGGACAGGCTCCCAGTGGGAACGAACTGGGCTGGCACCCTGCAGATAAACAGGGGCCAGGCCTCGCCTCAGGCCTGTGGGCACAAAGGCAAAATAAACTCATGAAAATGAATTCTGAGCAGATGCCTGAATGGTCATCTGGTCATTGAGGAAGGGATGGGGGGACCGAACTGAGGCAATTTGGGTGAATCCAACTCGTTCTTCACATCTTGTGTTGGAAGCTGTCACTTGGGATTAATCTTCCCTACACAATGTAAATTCATACACTTTTCTCAAGCACGGCAGCAGGCTGAGGGACTTGCTGGGTGCCACTGTGGTGTGTGGGTCACTGGTGGCACAACCGGCCCTCAGGGAAGGCCCGAAGAGTGTTTGCAGTTTGTGTATCCCCCTGTGGCGGAGAGGGGAGGCAAAATTGGAGGGCTCTGGATCCAAATTGTTGTAAGGATTGTGTGCTCCATGTGGGTAACATACACAGTGCTTCTGGATGTCATTTTGTGCTGCCCCAGTGCTCTCATGCCACCACCCGTGGTAACTGGGGCCTCTTTTAGTTCGGAAAAGCAGCAAAATGCTGAGGGGCTGGCACGGCGCTCTGAGGTGGAGCATGTCCGAGTCTGCTGAAGAGGAACTGGCTCAGACGTAGCTGCTTCTGTTTGTCGGCACAGTTGTTACCATGCACTCTTCCTGATCACTTAGAGGTCTGCGTAGATCCAATTCCTGTGTTTTTTGGTGTTTTTTTTTTTCCCCTTCCTCTCTGATTCTGGGCTTATTAGCCCTGACAGTTATTTATTTGTCCTTAGTTGTAGGCCGAGGCGGCTTTATGGAGAATGTGGGAAGCATGTCTTTTCTAATTAGACCACAGTCTGTTGTCTGTCTGCCTTATGGGCAGGACACAGCATGCTGTTCTGCAGTTTGTAATAGCAGGAAGCCCTGGATGCAGGAGGTCACACCGGCCTTGTTTGGAGAGGTTTTACAGCAACAGCTCACAACATCGGTGTTCCTGAGACTAAGCTGGAAGCAAAACCTATGGGTTTTATTCTCTTTTTTTTTTTTTTTTTCCCTACAATTAAGTATTTAAATTGTACAGGGGCATGAAGAGGTATGAGAGGAGCTGAGGGCAGCCAGCCATGCCCAGGCAGACCACTGGTGTTGCAGGAACTTCTTCCACCTTGCCGTGTTTCCAAGCAAGGCGCCAGCACACATGTAGCATCCCAGCTCTGGCAGTTGCTCTCAGAAGTATTGCAGCAGCTAATGAGGAAGGAACACTGGCTTCATGGAAGCTCACACCTTTTCTTTTCCCAGCATGATCCCCTGCAGAACGTGTGTTATTTCACAATTACGAGACTGGTAGCTTTATATAGTCTAGTAGCTTCTATAAAAAGTGAAAGGTACTGTGCCTTGCTCTTTGAATTCAGTGGAATAATCTTCTAGCATCTTGCTTGACAGTGACAGACAGGAAAGGTACCTCGTGCAGAGCAGCTCCTGGTTCTTTGCTGGCAATGAAGGAGGGAAGCTTGTTCTTATTCCACCAGGGAAACGGGGATGGAGAGCCAGTTGCGAGAAGCATATTGCCGGCCTTCTTCTGTTTGACTGAGGACAGAGAGCTCAGCAGAGCACTCATCCATGCCTCTTTCATTTGTCTCTGATTTGAGCAAAGGGGACTGTAACAAGTCGTGTTCATTACCAAACCTTGCGATTCCAGATAAGTCTTTAAATAGCAGCTTTCCTCATTCTTCAGTCGCTGGCTTAATGCCCAGGGAAAATAGTGGGTTGAGACTATGAAGCAACAACTTTTCTTTTTTCTCTAATAGTGCTTTCAAACTGTATGTCTGTTTAGAAACATTAATCATTGTAACTACTGGGTAAAAAATCTCCTGCCTGTCTTTACTCTTACCTGTGCAAGGAGATGACAACAGTGAGCCTGTGCTTTCGGTGGGTGATTAAGGAGCAGAAGGGCTAAGCTTTGATCTTTTCTGCTGTTGCAAACTGTGCAGGGTTAGGCTGGGTTAGCCCTGCGGTGGAAAACCTCAAGGAAAAGTCCGTCAGAAGGTTTTGCATTTAAAAGCACCCTTGTCTGAGACAGCCATGGGCATAGCACGCTGTCAAGAGATGTTGCATTGCCTAAGGGCCTGCCCTGCAGAAGGTACATGGCGCTGCTTGTAGTTTTTGATGTCTTCTGGCATTTTTGTAACAGTAAGAGTAATTCTTGACAAATATTAACATAATTACATTGCCCCCCTCACCTCCACAGGTTTAACAAAACATGGTTGGTGTTTACATCTCCTTCCCAGCCTGTGCTGTGTTTGTAAGTGATGTTAAACAGGGGCTGCGTGATTAATAGGGTGATACTTCAAAGTGTTTCCAGACAATAAGTACCTAATCCAGTTTGGTTTACGAGGGAAAAGAGATCCTACCGTATTATTTCTAGCATTTTAAGTTTGTAAATCCCTCTAAAATCTCTGAGAGGCAAAATAAATCCCATACACGTGACAGTTATGTTATAAAATGGTACAAGATGCCCGGCAGCCTCCCTACCTGTCTCAGATACCTGTTGCAGGTGTTGTTCCCCTGGTGCCTCCTGCCTGCCAGGTGCTCTGGTTAAAGGTGAGGAGGGAAAAGGGTGGGCACGGGGGATTGGAGGCTTCTCGTGTCGTGCAAGGGGCGTACGAGGTAGCTCATGGGCCGTTCCTAGCACTGAGTGCCCTCAGCAGATGGTGGAAGTCTGAGCACAGCGCAGTACCTGGGGCACTTCGGAGCACCTGGTGCTGACTTCAGAAGGAGGGTTGCATGGCTCACTGGGCTAACACAAACGGTTTTGACTGGTGAAGTAACTTGCTCCTGGATGAGCATTCAAGTAAACTAGCCATAGAGGAGAGGATATCGTGGCCATGGGTTGTACTCGTGCTGTTCTTTGGTGCAGCTGGGGACATCATCGCTTTCATCAGCCCAAATTCCTAGAGAAGAGGCAACACATCTGAGCAGTGTGTGTCATCTTCACTAAGCTTTGACTGCTCCTTCTGTCTCCTTCTGCAGTATCTGCTTGCATACCCACTCCCTCAGGAACCTGCGTTATCTACTGAGGAACGTTTCTGAGGGACAGGAGCAGACGGAGGGTAGATCTCAGCCCTTTCCATGGCATTCCTTTAGGCCACGTGCATTTTGCAGAACAGCCGTCTGGGACAACCTCTGTTTTCTGCAAGCTCCCGTCTGCCATTTGTTCTGCAGGGTCCCCCCAGACGTGACCATGAGGGGTGAGACCTCTCCTCTCCCCCTTGCCACTTCAGCTCAGGGCTGCCCTGTACCTCACCATCTTCCAACAGCCCAGGAGTGACTTCTTTGGCTTTTCTTCACTGTTTTGTTGCTAGCAAAGGAATTAAAACCGGCAGGTTTTTGTCCTTTATTGCCAGCTCTGTTTAAACACTCTGCAGGTGCCGTGCAGGTACACCGCAAGCACTGCTGTCCATCTCTCCATCTCCACCTCTGAGTGTTTTTAGCTGTCAATAAGCTCTGGATAAAATCACAGTGGTAAGTGACAGCCACCAAGCCAAATGCAGCAAGTCGGAGGTGGGAAGGCAGCTTGCTGAATGAAGAAAACAGGTTTAAGAGGAGCAGAGGGGAGTTCAGTGTGAGCATGGAGAGGAGGAAAAGAGCAAAACGCCGGTGGCAGGAGCTGGGCGAGGTAGCCAGGGTGAATAAAGAGCCAGACAGCGTGCTTCGCAAGCACGTCTCGTTTGTTCCTCTCCTCCGAACGGCTTAACCGAGGCCCGCAATTAGAAAATAAACTTTCCTTTTGTTTTTAAACAGTTCGGTGCCCAGGAGAGCGTCAAACAGCTCCGGTTTGAAATCAAAACGCGATTGCGGTGGTTGTGTTGTCATCGTCCCCGTTCCGCCGCTGTGGTCTTTGCGAGGAGGAGGCGTCTTTGGGGAGCGGGTCCAGCTCGGCTCGTTGCTATGGCAAAGTCTCTGCTGATGCCTGCTCTCCGCCTGTAATTGCTATTCAGCAGCTGCTTCCAGTGGTCGTCTGGAGGAACTCGCACAAGTTAGGGCTGTGAAAATCCCTCCCCGTACGTTGGCCTTCGCTGGAACCGAGCTTTGACAAGAGAGATGCATTAGCTTCCAAACTCGCCAGTAATTAGGTTGGTTTGAGTGTACTTTGCTGAAAGTTAAGGCTCTGGAGCTGGGAGAGGAGGGTGGAGGGGGAAGGAGCAACTTTAAAATCAATATTGCAAATGCAATGCAAAAGAGTGTAATTAGCATGTTTTGCAGGGCCTATTAATTCCTCTGAAATGCTGTTTATTAGGCAAAAGAACTTGGGAGCCCATCAGTGGATTAAACAGGTTCTGTAATGAAATGTAAATGGTGTAATTGGGCTTGTTCTGAAAGTATTTATTCTTCACCTGTGACCCGCTTGATTGCGGTTTGACAACACGAAGGAGTGTGCATCTCTTCGTTAATGACAGCTAATTCCCTGGAGCTAATGGAGTGGGACGCCCAGGCGCATGGCGCTGGGAACGGCAGGTCGTGCCTGGAGCTCCGCAGTGATTGGCACCAATCCGAGCACAATGTAACTTTAATTACAGTAATTCCAAATCCAAAGCAAGCATTTAGCTGCCGGAGAGAGGCTCTTAATTTTGCAAATAGATGCCGTATAATGCGCTGACCTTTTATTAGACAAATATTGGGATGGGTGGGAACGCTGTCCTCCAGGATGCAGGTAACGTTATTGGCTCCCATTAGCTCAGTGGAAATCAGAGGCACGTTCTCGCTGCCAGGTTAGCCATATGGATCTCCTTCAACATGCAACCTCGTGGAGCCAGGAGGGAAATGTGGTGCTGTATGTTATTTAACTGCAGTCTCTGCATCAAAGCATGAAATTCGTCTGCTGCTCCTCTGCCTTATGTGTGTGCTTTTGGCTGGGTAGGCCACTGGGATTTTTTTTTGTATGCGTTGTTTTCCCTTTTTACAAATCCTCTTTATCCAAACTGTGCAGTGCTAAATATCTCCAGGCACGCAGCAAAGGTCACGCAGCATTCCTGGAGGAAGAGAACAAAACACTTGGTTTTGTCTGGTGTTATGGCATTAAGGTGTTTGGTAACACCTTTCCATAGGGTCGAGATGTCTGAGCACAGCCACGTGTCCCTTCACTCACAGAGGAGAAGAGCTGCCAGTGCGGAGCCCTGGTGTTCTTCTGGGAGGGAGAGCTGCTCAGCGCACACCAGCAGGGACCGGCTGTCCCCCCGTTCTCCTCCTGAAACCACAAGCCTCCGCCTTTGCCTCCTGTTAGCTCAGACTTTCTCTTAGCCAGGAGTCTTGTTCAAGTTGGAATGAGCCGGGCAGGGAAGCTTTCACCCAGGCAATGTCCAGGTCTGTGCGGATGGGTTTGGAACAGGCCCCCAGGGAGCTGCTGTGGGCTGTCAGCTTAGTGTTTGGAGCAGAAGCGATACAATTTCTGCATGTAATGCCTTTCTTTTCTGCTTCATTATTCTTGCTCCACTGCCTCTTTCTATCTAAGAGCTGCAAGGCAGAGATGTAGGAGTGGAAGCGTGGTCAGAGGTCTCTGTGTCACGCTGATCTCGGGCTTCTCCCCTGAGTGGGGACATGCTGGGAAGAAGGCAGAGTGGGAGGCAGCTGTTGGCTGGGGGGAACGCAGCACGACTGGTCGACATTCAGCCACCTGAACAAATGGATGAGAATCATCAAGCAGGGAATACATAAAGGATGTTAGAGAGAATGAGAAACGAGGGGTGTTTGATGCTACTGTGGAGCAGCGGCCAACGCGAGGCAGTTGGCTGAACCCCGTCCAGCAGAGAGATGAGAAGAGTGGCAAATGGGAGGGAGCATCCTAGCGAGGCCAGGCACGTCGCTGCTTCCCAGCAGATGGCTTTCCATGCACACTGCCTAATCCCGACAGAAATAACACCTTCTCTGGATGCTCTCGTGCTCCTGTTCGTGTACAGCGGTCTTTTTGCTCTGGATTTGGGCTTTGTGGAGAGCCAGGCCGTTGGCACACAACGGGAGAAGAGCACAGCAGAGGCAGAGCAGCCTCTGGCTAGAGCGTGGCTGCATCGAGCAGGGTCTCCTGCTGTTAAATGAGTCCTGCTCCCCAGCCCCTCTCCCTAAAGCACAGAAGACGCAGCTCTCCTGGGAGTCTTGGTGGGAAGTGATAGATGGAGGGGCCGTGTTAGCACTGCAAAAGAGATTTCCTTGGCAAACAAGAGCAAAAATAAGTATGGGCATTGTTAGAAAAATCAGAAACCTTCAGGCTTGTCTACCTCTTTCCCCTCACCTTTGCAAATGTGCCAGTCAGTCCCTGATGATGATTCCTCTTGCTCCTGGCCCATCGCGACTGCATGGCCTCTCCTAGCCCTTGCTGCTCAGTCTGTTCCCAGCCAGTCCCCAAAGCCTTCAGCGCTCTGAGTATTTTCTGAAATAGTTTTTAATAGGCAGCCCTAGACCACAGGTAGAAACCAGGCAGATTGCATGTGGCCCGTAGTGCTGACAATAAACCCAAAATAGAAATATTGTCCGTCTCCTTTGTAGAAGCCCAGTTTTTGGAGTTATTTAATCTCGCAGCTTCCAGATGCGTGCTTCTGGCTGCTGGTAAAGCCCAATCTGGCTTTCTAAATTCAGATGCTTTTCTTTTTAGCACATACAGAGATAGTTCAGGTAAACAATCTGTACAAACACTGAAGTGTTCAGGCAACTGGTACATATGATAGAGCCGCCTACAAGACTGTCCTAAATGTCCATTTTCTTAGTGACAGCACGAGCTTCTGAGCACTGCTGGCTGCAGACCACACGTGTGTAGCTCAGGGATGTTTCTGCAGGCATTATTGGGGAGCAAAGCAGGGCTGCCCAAAGGCAGGACCTCCCTGCCATTGAGCCTTTTCCTATTGAGCCTCAAAGCTTTTCATGGAAGAAACTCTGCCTCTGACGTGTCCCAACAAATACCTGTTGCGTTTTGGGTGCTAAACAAGTAAGAACTAATGACTGTACTGGAAAACCAGTGAGTGGATTAATGCTGCTGCTGTAAGCAACCAGGGCTGGTGGCTGGGGAGCAGCAGCAGGCTGCTTGGTTTGAGCGGCAGCTCCTGGTCATTAATACAGGGCTTTGATCTCCGAAGTAAGAGATTATTCCCCCATGGCCCTTTGGCGTGAGGAAGCGGTGAGAGAGTGACAGCAGTAAAATGTGGCCGTTTGAGAGGCTCCTCCAGTGTTTTACTGAGATTAGATCTCCAAGAGGAGCTGTTAGAAGGAAGGGAAGATGGAGTGGCAGGTTATGTGACCGCTGTGACTCATTAATATAACAAAATTTATGTCCGGAGTACTCGCACCACTGGTACAAACCAACTCCGAGGAGCTGATTTCTGTCTTCTCCCGGTGCTGCCATGAAAAGCCTCTGCGGGGAATGTGCTGGCTCCTTTGGCAGCCTCCTGCATTTGCTCTGACCCTCCAGCCCCAGGAGGTGGAGGTTTGGCTGTGCCACCGGGATGGGCTCCGTGTTCTGTGCCTGCACAACCTCGGTTGTGAGCGGCACAACAGCTGGTTACAAAAAGCCATCACAGGCATGGGTGTCTGACAGCCTTTAATCTCACTAGGGCAGGGCTTTGTTTGTTTGTTTCTTTTTGTCTTCGTGAAATTTTCAGAGTATTGAGACACGGCTGCTGAGAGGTGGTGATGGAGATGCTCGTTTTATTGAATTTCGACCCCTGTACCAATAAATCATAACGCAAACTGATGGGAAAAATGATCTTTCACCAGCATTAGCACTGCCAGAAAACAAGTCAATAGAGACCAGACCTTTTCACCCAAAGGTCCCCAGTCCATGGCTGGGTCCTTGCCAGAAGTGACAGATAATCATTGACACTGAGCAGCAGTTTTTCTCTCCAGGAAGGGTTTTTGACCTTTATCTCTTTCCTGTTAAACAGAAGATGAACGAAACGCAAACCACTGTGGCCTTGTGTCTAGCTCGGTGGCCTGGAGTCCACGATGCTACTTCTTGCTATCCAAAAAGGAGAGGTTTGAGCCTGCCCTGGCCATGGGATACTCAAGGCACAGCTGAGCCTGGCTCCCCCCACCTCGCCACACTGCTTCTGTGGGTAACCAGTTGCATTCTTGCTGCTTGCCATTAATTTCTTCCCATCAGCACTAAATTTGCCTCCAGTTAAACCACTCAAGGAGGCCAGGAGGAAGCAGCACATGTGCTGAGCATTGTGGTTATGGCCACAAAGAGGGAGAGGCACAGGGAGCAGCCTTCCCATCCAGCCCCATAGCCAGCCAAAGCAGTGTTTGAAACCCTCCATTTCCTGAGTACTGCTGAGAGTGATGTGCTAAGTGGTGCTTTGTTTTTGGGCAAAGAATGTACCAAAAACAACAGAGGAAAGAAACAAATGGCAGAATTTATGTTGTTGTTTTCTAAAATTCTTCCTCTGGTGTTTGCTGCCAGGTTTGTTTTGTCCCAGGTTCGCCTCATTCCTAGAAATGGGATCAGGAGCTCAGGGAGATGAGATGAGCCCTTCCCAGCTCCCTCAGCCTGATTGCCGTCTCCCAGCTGTTTTTTCCTTGGTGCCATAAGGCAGATCCTCCTTCTCTCCACCTAAAGCCCATTCGCTGGGGTGGGATGCCATTAGATTTCCTAGCACTTCTCAATTTCTAGCTCCAGTTTAACATTTACCAGTTACTGGATGTCTTCCCCATATTGTGTGTCCCCTTGTGTCCCAAGACATCTGTCATGGCATCGTGCTCCTTCCCAACTTGCATGCCAGTGTTCAGCATCAACACAAGCATAATTAAACATAATTATTACTTGATTTAAAGCAAATCAAAATGCATAGCAGGGGTAATGACAAACGGGAGCGTTGCAATGAACTGGAAAGGAGAAGACAACGTGCTGAGCCTGGGTTTGGAGCGTTTCAGGTAGGAGGAGTGCTCATGTAACCTAAAAGTGCTGAGGACTGAAAAAGCTCCATTGACAGAGCAGAAAACATCTCGTTCAGAGCAGGATTTGAGGAAAAGAGGGATCTCATGGCATGCAGAGGAGAGCTCCAGCCCTGTGAGTCCTCCCACAGAGAAAATGCAGCTAAAAGAGGAAGGGAGAGGAGAAAGCACTCTCTAAGGCGACTTGGCAAGGAGGAGAGTAAAGAGAAGCACATGTGCAAGAGGAGTGGGCGACGAGGGGAAAAGTGAGCCAAGATCCCCTGTCAGCATCAGAAGAGATGGCTGTGTAGGTAATTTGCCACGCAGGCAGGAGAGAGCAAAGCAGCCTTCGGATGAGAGAACAGCTGGCAAGGGCCTTCAGAGAAAAAGACAGGCTCCGACTCAGCAAGCAGCCTCTTGTCCAAAGTAGTGTGCCTCTTGTGGGGTCTCCCAGCAGTATCTCTTGGCGTGTCAGTCTTTGCCTCTGTCTCTTTCTGTCTCCACTGAGGTGGCGTCAGTGATCTTTGGGAAGATGTACAAAGTCAGCCTGAAAACACCTCCCAACATCCTCTCCTTTGTTGACCTATGCAAGAAGAGGAGGAAGGAAGGGTACCGTAAATATGTGATGGGTGGTTTGAGCCATGTCACACGTGCATCTCCTTTTTTTTAATCACATTGTTATTTTAACCTGGATTTCTCTGAAAAAAAAGGGTGGAATTACTTGCTGGGCACTCTCTATTTCCTCTGTCTCACCTCAAGATCTAAAACCATGGAGAGGCTGGAGATTTCCTTCTAATTAACTTAACAAAGAGTAGGTTAATAAGTAGCTTGATCATAGTCCCAGCTCCTATATGGGAAGATGATTTGGGCTAGTGAAGAGCTCTTTAATCTATTGGACAAAAGCATAACAAGATCAAATACTGGAAGTAGAAACCAAGAAAGATTAGAAATAAGGAAATGCTTTTGTTACAACAGGGGTAATTAACCATCGGAACTATTTATCTCAGCACGTGGGGGATTCACTATCACTTTGAAGTGTCTAAATGAAGATGGGATATTCTTGTACAAGAAATGTTGTAAGTCAGCTAGCAATTACGAGCCTGATGCAGGAACTGCTTTGCTTAATTCACTGGCTTGTGCTTTTCATCAGTTTAGATCGGCTGATTCTTACAATTCTTTTGAGCTCCGCAATTTGTGAACCTCGGAGAAATGAGGGGTCCTGCCGATGAACAGAGCACCTGGTGGTGCGAATACTGGTACCAGCAAGTAGCAGAAGGGTGCAAAAGACTCTTTTGAAGTAGGAAAGAGAAATCTCTGGCAGCTACCAACAACTAGGTGGTTCTGCTGAAAAGCAAATGGCTTTCCTGAGCTTCAGTAGTGATCGGGCTGCAAATGCGCCTTACATCAGAGGCAGCTGGAGATGTTGTCGTCTCCTCAGACTAGTTTCTGTGTTTGTACTGTCACAGGGTTGAAAACGCAATGGCTTTATTCGTCCCAGCTCATAGCATTCATCTTTCAAGCAATTCCCCAACATAATTAATTCACTCGCTGGCATACCTGCTTGTTATCATTGCTCGTTTTAAGGGTAAGGACAGTTGGGGTGGTGTGGAGATTGCATTCAGGCAATTAAGGAAAGAAGTTGTCAGAGCTGGGATTAATGCTCAAGGCTCCAGAGCACCATCTCATTTTAAAATTACTAATGAAAAGCTAGGAAAAGTATGTCTGCCATTGGCCTGAATTTGATCTTTGTTTCTTTAATAATAATAATAATAAAAGCAGGAAGGGGGCTGGAGGAACACAGAAGCGGTGAGCAGGCTCCACTGGGAGGCTCGTGGGGAGCACCAGAGGCTTCAGAGCTCATTTGTATCTCTGGCAGCCTGACCCCACGGTGAGGATAATCAAGTTGAAAATTAAATCAAATTTCAAATGTTAAACCAGCCAATTAAAAAAGCAATTGCATCAAAACATGCATTTTTAAAAAAGTTTTTGTTTACTCTGCCATAAGTTATTTATTTAGCAAGAAAACTTTTGTTTGTACAAAGTACTTGTTAAATTGCTCATGAGGGGTGGAGGCACAGCAGAGCAACAGGTAACCAAAATGCCACCTGAAGTTCCCTAAAGGTCTGGCTGAAGAAGTTTTATGGGGAAGGTCTTTTCCTACCGGGAGCAAAACATGATGCATCTCTCTTCTAGGCTGCATGACTGCAGGCATGATTGCTGTTTGTGGCCTGTCCATTAAGCTGAGAGGTGTCTTTCATCAAATAACACACCGTCCGTACCGTCTCTTTGCTTTGATTTCCCTCGATGCCTCTGTTTAGAAGAGTGAAGAGCTGGTGAGTTGGGTACTTGGCTCTTTGAAAGTTATCCGTTTGTGTGCTCTCAGCATCAATTTCCTCTGGTTTCTTGCATTTCAGGATCTCTCCTGTATGTTTACACAGTTGGTGTTTATTTGGCCTGTGGCCTGTTTAGGATTTTTTTTTTTCACTCTCTTGAGATTCCTCTTGGAATTTCTTTGTTTGAAACTTTGTGAACGCTTTTCAGTAATGAAATGTGTAGGACTGTAGGTGTGTCTGTGTGTCTTATCCTTCACTTTTTACTATGTGAAGCAAGGGTTGCAAAGAAGGGCACATCAGGAAGTTTCTGAAGGCTTCTTCCTACTGTTACTACTTCATCCCCTTCTCCCATCACCCCCTTTCACCTAAATTAAATAGTGGCTGAGAAAAAAACAGAGCTGGCGTCTCCACTCGAAGCCCAGAGATCTGCTGTTTTGCTTTGGCTGCGGTTTATAGATTTCTGTAGGAAGGGGACAGTGACCCAGTTCTCCTCCGTGGGGCTGGGAATGGCACGGTGATGCTGACCAGAGCAAACCCTCCGGAGAGCTGCTTGCTTGCAGTTTGTGATTAATGGAGTAGCTGGGCCTAGCCTAAGAAGAAATTGGTTGGAAAGTGCTAAGGTGAATGTCTGAAGAGATAGAGTTTGCTTTCCATCATCCAGCAGCGGTTAGTTTTTGGGGGCAAGGAGGAAATCTGACAGTCAGTGACTTGAATTTCTGATGTTTCCTCCCATCCCTCAGCCTCCTCCTTGTTCAGGGAAAGACAGGGACTGGAAGCAGCTACCACAAGTTTGCAGCTGCCTGAACTTTTCGTTATTAATTAATCCCATCTTCATTCACACAGCACTCCCTTTGCCTCAGACAGTGGATAATAAACACCGATCGAGCATGCAGCGATGATAAATTATCTATTTAATAATTAACAAATTAGTCCTAACAGATGGAACCAAAACAAAATTGTCTGTCTGCACACACAGCACACGGCTTGCCTCCCCCCATTTGTCACACGGAGATGCCACCAGAGATGCAGGCACGTCTCAGGTTTGTTGCCCTCACCTGCCACCTGGGCAAGTCATGAGTTTCTCTGGGTCTGCTACAGCCCTTTCTAAATCTGATATTTTCCACGTGCCAGCAATGAGCATAAATGAGGCAAGGCAGGAGGGTGTGATGGAGGAAGAACGTGATGGAGAAGAGAGGGGGATCCTGGCTTTTTTTGGTGTTAGTGTACAGGAGACCCCTGCAGAAGGATCAGCTGTCCGCTGTGATCCATCAAATTAATAGAGATTGTAGTCCCTGTAATTCTTCCTGCTATTATCCAACAAAGAATAAAAAAAATCAATGCACTGCTGAGTTAAATAAACATGAGGCACTCCAGTCATATGAGCAGAGTATCCTGTGAGCTAACTGTGCATATATTATTCATCTGCAGTTATTATTCATGACCTTTCCCTCACACTGTCATGGCTCCATCACTTGTGAATTTATAAGTTCATTAATAATGAGTGAAAATTAATAATGGATTTTCATTATATCCATTGGGTATATTTACAGCATTCATAATGCATTCAAATAACTGGTTTGAGGTGTAAAAATAAAACCACAGCTCTGCCATGGGCCCTCACCTTTTTGAAGAGTTACTATTTTTGTTAATAATCCTTCCTGCTTCCATTGCGGTGCGGCCATGCTGTGTAATAGCCTGCCATCTGCCACCATCATGCTTAAAAAGGCTTGAATCAAAGCAGGAAATATCATTATTGTGTGAGATTAGAAGAAGATGATCCACAAATTAATCACTATTGAAAGCAACACCAAAATTACGATAGTGTGGGAAAGGTTTGAAGTTC